GCTCATAGCGCTCGGGCAGCTCGGCTCTGAAACAGAGCCGAAGAGTCAGGGGAGGAGCAGAGCTGCCGTGGGAGGGGAAGTGCCCGGACGGCATTTTCCCAGACATGTTCGGCTTTTTGGCAATTCCCCCCGGACAGGGGTTTGATTGCCAAAAAGCCGGACATGTCCGGGAAAAACCGGACGTATGGTAACCCTAGCATCCACCCAGTAATGAGGCATAATTCAGCCAATGTCTGTATCTGTCCAGGGTGCAAGCCCTGCATGCTTTGAAGTTACCTGGCACAGTGTAACTTTTGCAATGCTGTGTTTGCAGTGCCTTTCTCAGACAAATGGAATATGTTCATTTGAGCCAAGTTTTAGTGTAGACGCGGTTCTTTCTCAAAACTGCACAATGGATTTCAATGTAACACTAAAGGTAACTGTTTCTAATACACCTAGTCATCCAGAAAAAGCACAGCACCATTAAACTGACTGATCCCTGAAAGAACTTTTTCCAACATGGTTTTAGTGAAAGCAATTTGTGGAGAAAGATATTTAACTTGTCTACTCTTCCAGCGTGAACGACAGTAATGCAAAAGCTGACCTGCTTTCTGGTTTATGTGATTTTTGTATTTTATGTAGCCCATTTCCTTGCATGGATTTAAAAATAATTAATGTAGATAAACAGGTAATGTGATCTAATGGTCTGAATCAGAATTACTTGAATTCCAGTCCTAACACTGCCGGGTGCTTGCTGTGTGGCCTTTTGAAAGTCACTTAACCTCTGAGCCTCAGATTCTTCATGTATAAAATGAGGAGCAATACTTACATTGTAGAGATGTGGGGTTAATTAGCTAATGTCTACAAATGCGTTCTGAAGATGTAAAGCTCTAGCTAATTGATAAGTATTATTAGGTACATGCACAATTACAAAAGCAGTTGGGTTTTTTTCCTTGAACTTTATAAAATGGTGGTGCTGCCTCTACAAAATTGTACTTTGCCCCTCAACATGTTGCACTATTAGTGCAGCAAAAAGTTCATAAGAAGAGCTCCTACAAAAGCCTTTGAAAATGACAGTCTGATTACCCTCCCAATTGTCAAAGAATCGTTCTGGTTTGTGCATACACAACAGTTTTGTGTGACACTAGCTACAAGCTCCGTCTGCTCAGTGTTCAAGGTCGGGAGCTGGGGTGAAGAAATAGCAAGATCCCATTCCCAGCAGCCTAAAAAGTAAATATTGATTGCAAAAGCGCAGAAGTGGTTGAGTATGTGTGAAAGAGAGAGTCCTTCCCTGTGTATAAATCTGATGAGACAAACACAACTGCAAAAAGGAGTTTTTAAACTTCGTCTGTTCTCAGGCAAAGGTCATTTTATAATTTCAAAAGCCGCATGAAAGAGATTGAAAAAATCCAGAGAACGTGCATTCAGAGCAAAATTAAAATTCAAACATAAAATCAGAAGGGGGGGGGGGATTATAAAGTGCTCCTCAGGAGAGCACGCAAGAAAAGGAAAACTCTACCTGCTGTGGAGGTTTTGAAACAGAAGGCTCCTTCCACCCACTTTCCCTGCCACAAAGTCTCAAACCAGCAGATGCTAAAAAAACAGACATTCCTTTTAAAATCTCTTGTCACTTCTCTTTTGCATTTTAAACACTTTCCCTACCCGGAGCCAATCTGCATTTCCCAGAAGCTGGTGTGTAGCTGGTTCAACTTTGCAAAAGGTCCAGCTGCATGGAGTACAATGCAGCATCCAGGCCGAGGTGCAAAGGATATCCGGTCCTTATGATCCCTGGAACATACTGTAACTCCCTGTTGTGAGTGTGCCCAAAAAGGAAAGACCGGGGCTACAAGAGTGAAAAGTGAAGAGGAGTCACCTACTGGAGGAAGAAAAGAGCATGATGCAACAAGCAGCTGCATGAGAAGACGAGAGATATGACAGCCCTGGGAAGCACCGGGGTTAGGAAATGCTGGTGAAAATAGCACAGCAGCTGGAGGTACTCCCACATTTCAGATCAAACCAAAAAGCGGTGAGCCAGGATAGACAGAAGGAGGGCAGCTCTGTAGCTATGAGACTGGGAGGCCATAGAGCAGAAGGGTGAGGAATAGGCCAATGTACTGCTTGAATAGTAAGAGGTTAAGGAACTCCATTAGGGCTGTAAAGTCTGGGAATCACAGTGGTGAGAATCTTCACCTACTGTACCACAGTTCAAAGGATAAAAATAAATATTTATTTTTATTTTATTTAAAGGATCTGTGACTAGTGCTAGGGCAATGGCCATTTGGACACAAGAAATTGGTCTAGTGAGCTCCTGTTCACGCATTTTAGTGGAGTCCAGCCAGGATTAACACCAACGAATAATTTTTCTTTCTACAATCATTCATTTTAGGTTTCATAAATAACACTTTGCATTCTTAAAATGGTGTGCTTGCATTCATTCATTCACGAGCCAGCTCTGAATTCTTTGTCAGCTAGGTAAATATCCTAGTTATGTACAGGTGGATAAACAGAGAGCTTAGCCTGTGACATGCAGCCCACACGCCAGGTCATTTGCAGAGCCTGGATTAGAACGCAAGAATTGCTGGCCTCCAGACCCGCTCCCAGTCCCGGAGTCTGACTCCCAGTCCCTCAGACTAATGCTCCACATTCAAATGCCAAGTGAGCCAATGTTTTTACTCCAAAAGAAGGGCCCTATAAAATAGGGCATTGAAAGAGAGTCATATAAAAATAAAGCCAAGCCCATGCTTTTTTCCCCCATTCTTTTTGTGTCTTTCTTGTTTCCTGTTGCCATGCCATTCCCCATGACGGATACAAAGGAAAGTGCCTTCTCAAGCAAGAAAATTAGATTATTCAAAGAGCCTCTCTGTCTTGCATATTTATTGTGATAGGCCTTGTTAGAAGTGTTTGACAACAACTCAATTATCTGCAATGAATAGAGGCAGGATAGGCAGGCAATTATCCACTTTATCCATGTGAGATACACTCATATTCAAATCCAAGTTCAGAGAGATCCACATTCTTTCCAAACCTTTTTGCATATTTCTAATTACCAGCTTCAATTTAGCAGGATGGTTATGACTCCAATGAAGGTTCTTTGGAATAGCTGAGTACTTGGTTTGAAGCCAGCAAGGGATTGTCTCATTTCACATTGACACTCTAATGCGTAGTTTTTGGACTATTTGGATTAAATTTTGAAAAGCAGCCCCCAAAATGGTGCATGTAAATAAGCATGTGCAATTAATGGCAAACTGCAAAGCCTGCATTTTCATGTACAAACCAAATACTTAAGATCTAATTAGCAGCTCTGCAATACCCGCAAATGTCATTTCCTATTACTAACAGTATTCTTCTGTAGTGTCTACAGTAAGCAAGCAAACATGCTGCATGTTGCAATAGCAAGCTTGCTGTGTTTCAGAGTGTGGCCGGGGTCCTAGTGGGGAACCAGCTATGGTCACTCAATTGGAGTGAACTGTAAAGAATGGGGCAGACAATCCCCATAAAGCTGGTGGATATTCCAATACTTAGGGTACGTCTATACTTACCCGCTGGTTCGGCGGCAAGCAATCGATCTTCTGGGGTCGATTTATCGCGTCTTGTCTAGACGCGATAAATCGATCCTGGAAGTGCTCACCATCGACGCCAGTAATCCTACTCTGCGAGAGGAGTAGGTGGAGTCAACGGGGGAGCCTGCCTGCCGCGTGTGGACCCGCGGTGAGTACCTTTAAGTTTGAACTAAGATACTTTGACTTCAGCTACGTTATTCACGTAGCTGAAGTTGCGTATCTTAGTTCGAACTGGGGGCTTAGTGTGGACCAGCCCTTAGATTTACCGAGCCAGCATGAAACAGCTTCTTTATTACCTTACTGGTTACTCAGAAGTCCAAACAACACAGTTCCCTTAAAGTGATCCAGCCTCAGACCTCCATTCAGGTGAGGTACCCACATCAAATATGATGAAAATTTCTGTAAATCTTATTTTGTCATATATCTTTTTTTAAACTGGAAGGGACCCCGAAAGGTCATTGAGTCCAGCCCCCTGCCTTCACTAGCAGGATTAAGTACTGATTTTGCCCCAGATCCCTAAGTGGCCCCCTTAGGAACTCACAACCCCGGGTTTAGCAGGCCAATGCTCAAACCACTGAGCTATCCCTCCCTCCCTTCTTATATAAAAGAAAAGGTTCTACCAATCCCAAAGGATCGGACACATTACCTCCCAGGTTATTGAATATTCCAGATCTTACCCAAATATACACTACAGCCAATTCTTATTAACTAAACTAACATTTATTTAAAAATAAAAGAGAGAGAGTATGGTTAAAAGATCAATATACATACAAACATGAGTTCAATTCACTTAGGTGAGCTTTGTAGTTGCAAAGAGTTCTTTTAGAAATAGTTCATAGGTTATAGTCCAATGTCCAGATATCATATTCAGGGCATACCAGCATAACTGGGACCTCAGTCTTGAGACTCAGGGCTTTTCTTCACTTACCGGAGGATCAACGCTGAGGCGATCAATGCATCGGCGGTCGATTTAGTGGGTCTAGTGAAGGCTTCATCAGGGGATATAGCGGGTCTAGTGAAGACCCGCTAAATCAACCGCCGATCGCTCTCCCATTGACTCCTGTACTCCACCTGATCGAGAAGAGTAAGGGAAGTCAACGGGAGAGCATCTCCTGTCGACGTCGCGTAGTGTGGACCCCACGGTAAGTAGATTTAAGCTACGTCGATTTGAGTTACTCTATTCACGTTTAAATGATAGGATGTTCCTTTGACCTCTGAATGATCAGAATACAGCATAGACAGGGACTGTTGATTACATTGTCGACCCTACTCATACATATGTAAATACACAAAAACACAAACATTATCTCCCCACATGTCTTTTGAGGGTTATTTATTTTGCAGGTTGTTTAACCCTTTCTAGCCATGCGTCACAGAAAGATTACTTTAAATCCAGCAGGGTTTGTTTGTTTTTATAAGAGCTTGCACATGGGAATATCAGTTTGTTCCATATGCAAAACTGCAATCACAGTGCAAGAGACCAAGTTAGGTCCCCTCTGAATACGAGGCCCTTTTTCACCCCTTATTAATGAATCATTCAGGATATTCTGGCCCCAGTTCTTTACAGTGTTGCCATCTCTCATGATTTGATCACAAGTCTCACTTTGTATGATGATTTTCTTAAACTCCCAGCTTCTGGAAGCATGTGATTAGGTGAGACTCTCAGCTTCCATTTCTTAATTAGGTAAGTTTTTAACCTTTATGGTTGGGAAGAAAAGCTTGAAAACATCACCCAAGTGTAACCTTCAAAATCTAGGAGGCAAATAAAAAGAATCCCAAGTTATGATTTTTAAGTCAGTATCATGATTTGGCAGAGAAGGGGGTTTCCTGGTGATTTTTGAATGCCTGGGTAGGCAATACCAGTTCCTTGATTTCAATAGAGTTACTCCGGATAGACACTGGTGTAATGGAGTGCAGAACTTGGCCCACTGGCTCTCTTGTCAATTCAGGAAATTTCTAATTTCCATCCTTTTTGCACCCAACCCTTTGTGTCTCACTCTCTTCCTCATCTCAGATCTTCTTCCCTTTTTATTTCATGCTCTAGGTTGTTTCTCATTATCCCCGTGTTGAAAACTAACCTTTTTAAAGAGGTATTTCCTTACTGATGTGACACTGTCATGGTTTTATGGTACTGCAGAATGATTTTATTGTATCTGTTTAATGTTTTACAGCATCTCAAGAACCGTGTGACACACTCAGTGCCACAAGGAGACATTCTGCACCCCATATTTGCCATTATGATATGTTATGTACAAGGTATGCCTCCTGATATATCATTCTAAAAGTCTTAATCTGTTGAACATTAATATCCTATTAAGTTGTATGTGCTATCATTGAAGTTAGGAAGTTTTGCTATGTATGTGCTACTGAAACATGTTGTGAGGTTGGGAACACCCACAAGCAGCCTTTCAGGTTCAATAATAAAATGGCCAAACAATGTTGATGGCCTATTGAGGAAATACACACACTCACGAGGATTATCCCAGGAACTGGGTACAATTGAAACCTCTCAGAAGTAGCACTACACAATGGGAACTGATTGACCCAGGTCACAGCAAAAGTTCTTTCCAGCAAGCTGGAAGAAGATATAAAAGGGGGAAGTGACATCATGATTGGGCCTCACTCCCTCTACAGCTCAACACCTGAAAACACCTGAGAAAAAAAACTGAACTGGGGGAAGTGCTGGTCCCAGGCTGGAAGAGAGGATTCCAGCCTGTTTATAAAACATCTACAAACTGCTGTACTAGCTAAAAGGGTGAGACACTGATTCAAATCCTATCTAGTATATTAGGCTTAGATTGTGTTTTTGTTTATTTGCTAGGTAATCTACATGCATCTAACAAAGTGGGTATTCACCCACGAAAGCTTATGCTCCAATAGGTCTGTTAGTCTATAAGGTGCCACAGGACTCTTTGTCGCTTTTTACAGATCCAAACTAAAACGGCTACCCCTCTGTTACTTTGATCTTTTTGCTATCACTTATAATCACCTAAAATCTATCTTTCTGTAGTTAATAAATCTATTTTATATTTTTTACCTAAAACAGTGTGGTTTGAGTGAAGTGCTTGGGGAAAGATCTCAGCTCAGTTAACAAAGGCTTTGTGCATATTCCTCTCCACATCAAGGGAGGGGGCGGACTGGGTAATAACTAATATATACTGGTCAGGTTTTTGACCAGGGCAGGGCGGCATAGCTCCAGGGTCCTAGGCTGGGGGTATTTTGGCTGAAGCCTCTCTATTGTTGGTTCATGCAGTGGCTCATAGAGCATTCATGAACACAGCTGGGTATGGCCCCTGCCTGTGGATGTTGGTGGGAGTGAAAGCTTGGAGGGCTTTGCAGCTTGTCACAATGTCGCAGTGTGAGAGGCAACCCAGATTGGTAAAACAGAGGGCTCGGCTGTACTCCAGTTCCAGGTGGCACCCTGGAGGGGGACCCATCACACCATGGTTGGGGGACATTTTAAGAATTAAGATCCTGAAGA